ATACCCTCTTGCTTCAAAGTTCCAACATCTCTGGCTTGTTTGCTCTGGGAAGTCCACAAAATCAGACCACGTGCCTTGCAAGCCATGTTTTGTGGTCGGGATTTCTCAAGTTGGCCATTGGGAGCTCTTTGGGACTATTTGCGGGGGAGCCCACGTGGGCTCCCCCGCAAATAGTCCCAAAGAGCTCCCAATGGCCAACTTGAGAAATCCCGACCACAAAACATGGCTTGCAAGGCATGTGGTCTGATTTTGTGGACACAGTGAGCGCAGATGGCCGAAGAGGTTGAAGCAGCGACAGGGTAGCGTTTTCTTCACACACCCCCAACCCTGTCCTGAGTGTGAATCCAGATCAAGGGCTCTGAACAGCCCCCCCCATTTGGATAAACTTTGGAAGTTGATTACAGGTAGTGCTCAATGATTCGCTTAGTGACCGTTTGAAGTTACGATGGCACTGGGAAAAGTGACTTACGACCCGTTTCCCCCCACACTCATGACCGTTGCAGCATCCCCGTGGGTGGTGTGGGCAAAAAAACTTGGCAACTGACTCATATTTATGACGGTTGTTACAGCGTCCCAAGGTTTTGCGACCTTCTGACCAGCTGCAAATAAAGCTGTCTCACTTAACAACAGAAATGTTGGACTCTATTCTGGTCATAAGTCAAGGACTACCTGTATGTGGGAAGAAGGGGCAGCCTTTTCTAACAGGATATTTTGTCCCATGGTCATTTTATGCCCCCCCCACCCCGGCCACATTGGCTGTCTGGTCCCCCTGAGGTCACTCAGCGACGTTGGCTAGGAAATTCTGGGAGTTGAAGTGCACAAGTCTTAAAGTGGCCCAGTTTGGAGACCCCCAGGTATAGGGTGTCCTTGCTTTTACAGGGGGCTGGACTAGAAGACCTCCAAGGTGCCTTCCAACTGTGTTATTCTGTTACCTCTCTGCCTTTCTTCTCCCAAAAGAGCTGTCAAGGGGTCTCGTTCGACGGACTGACCCTCGTCCAGCAGCTCACCCAGACTGGCTTTTGCCCCATGCGCCATGCGCAACCGGCACCGCACAAACCGGGAACCAAAGGAAGCATTTAACTCCCTTTTTTAATCTCGCCATGGCCAGACAAAAGCATGCCCACCCCGTTCTTGGGAAAGGCTCCATTCCTCCATCCTCCGTTCACCCTTTCTTTTCCTGTATGTCCACTTCTCCTCCTCCTTCTCCTCCTCCTCCATCTTCGGCGCCCCCCCTTCCGTGCGCACGGTTGCCGTGGCAACCTCCCAGCTGGGCACATAGGTATCCCCGGGTGATGGGCGGCTGAGAACGCATCACAGATGGAGCAGAGACGAAGAAATATCTCCAGATCTCTGGCATTCCTGCATGCCACCCCCCGGTGCATGCACCCAAAAGGATCCAGCCGTGTGTTTGGCAGCTCGGCTATTAATATGATCCCGAGCATCAGAAGACGGGGGGGGGGGGGGGAATTAGTTTATTTTTTACCTTTGATGCAATTGGGAGGCTACTCCTGGCCTGGTTTGGCAGCATGGAGCAGAGTGGAGGATTGATTTATCATTTTATTTATTTAAAAAGGGGTTGTTGTTTTTAGGGGTGTGTGTGTTTGTGGGGTGAAGGGGAAGGACAAAAGGAGGAGAGGCTGGCATCAGAAACCGGATGTTATCTGAAAGGGAGCGTTGAAGAAAAAAGGGGCAGTTGAACCTGAAGGGAGCCATTGGTAGCCATCCGATAGGAAGGGAAAGAGAACTCTGCCCATGGTCAGAGGAACGGGGTTGGGGGAGGGTGGGCCCGTGGGGGCACATGGTCCCAGAGCATCCCAGAAGTTCTGCATGAGAGGTTGGAATAGTTCACATGCAGAGAAGAGCAACAAAGATACAGGTATGGATTAACAGAATTGGAAGGGACCTTGTAGGTCATCTAGTCCAACCACACATACCCCCACCCAAGCAGGAGACCCTACACCATTTCTGTCAGATGGAAGTCCAATCTCTTCTTGAAAGCCTCCAGGGATGAAGCTCCCACAACTTTTGAATAACCCAATAATAACAGAATAGCAAAACTGGAAGGTACCTTGGAGGTCATCTATTCCAACCCCCCGCCCAAGCAGGAGAGCTGGGGGATAAAACATGAAGAATGGTGGCACGACTTGGGTATGTCCAATTGGATGAAAAGAAGGACGGGGGGGGGGGGCATAATTTATTTATTTATTTATTTATTCAATTTGTCAATTGCTTACAAGATAACAGGTATAAGTATATACATAGTTGTGAATACATGAAATGGGTACATATAAGAAAAATAAAAGAAGAATAAGAGAAACAATAGGACAGGGACAGTATGCACACCCCTTACAAACCTCTTAGGAAAGGGGTGAGGTCAATAGTAGACAGTCTAAGGTTAAAGTTTTTGGGGTTTGGGGAAGAAACCACAGAGTCAGGTAGAGTATTCCAGACATTGACCACTCTGTTGCTGAAGTCGTATTTCCTGCAATCAAGTTTGGTGCGGTTGAGTTTGTATCTATTGTTTGCTCTTGTGTTGTTATGGTTGAAGCTGAAGTATTCATTGACAGGTAGGACATTGCAATGTATGATTTTATATACTATATTTAGATCAGACCAAAGGGGGTGTAGGTTCTAGGTTTTCTAGGTCTAGAATTTCGAGTCTGCTGGCATAAGGTATTCTGCAACAGGTAGAGGAGTGAAGAACTCTTCTTGTGAAATATTTCTGGACTTTCTCAACTGTGTTGATATCAGATACGTAATGTGGGTTCCAGACTGATGAGCTGTATTCGAGTATTGGTCTAGCAAATGTTTTGTATGCTCTAGTTAGTAGTGTGATATTACCAGAGAAAAAGTTGCGCAAGATTAGGTTAACAACTCTTAACGCCTTTTTGGCTATGTAGTTACAGTGGGCTCTAGCACTTAGATCATTAGAGATGAGTACTCCAAGGTCCTTGACAGAGTTTGGATCATCAACAAGGTCTTGACTATTCAGCCTGTATTTTATTTTCTGATTTTTTTGGCCAATATGTAAGACAGAACATTTATAGCATTTATAGAATACCATGATAGTGGTCTTTGAATATTTGAGGGGCTGCCTCAAAGAAGGGGGGGTGTCAATTATACGTCATTGTGTAGTGGTTACATCAAATCCCCCTTTCCCCCCCCCCCATCCTATTATATATCCTAGATACAACTATCATACAGTATAATCTCTTTTGACTACATTGTTATACATCCAGATTATAACTATGGTATTATTTGCTTATTTCTACCATAATACACTATTAGTTCTTATTTTGTGCAGTTTTATACTATATTCACATACAATTCAATAATATTTCTTATGTTGTTTATTCTTACAAATTCCCCTATCTTTGTATTTATTTTTATTTTGTTGATCTTCTTTCATCATTCAACCCTAATTTCTGCATCTTATTATTTATCCAATTATACAGTATATCCCATGTTAGGTAGCACTCTGATTTCTCTTTGTCCATTGCAAGTCTATCCAGTTCTAATGCACATTCTAATGTTTTTTTTTATTACCTCCTCTGTGGGAGTCCTTTCACTTTTCTGCGTATAAGATTCTAGCTGCAGTTATTATATGTATAATTAAATATATGAATCTCTTGTTATGTTTCCCTGCTATTATCTCTAATAAGAATAGTTCTGGTTTCAGATCTATTTGCTGTTTTGTCATCTCTTCTAGTCGATTCTTTTATCTTCAACCAGTACTTTTTCGCCACTGGACAGGTCCACCATATGTGGTAAGTGTTCGCACTTCCAACATTTCAGTGACATATTTGGAAACATTTTTGCCAATCTTGCTGGGTGGCAAACTGCTTTTGTGAACCCATCTGCTTGGCTTCCCCCAGTCAAACCTATTGGCTGCGTTCATACAACTCGTTAGATCTGGTTTGGATAAATGGCCCTGCGCTACGTGGAATGAACTTAAGCCAACACCTAAAGCCATCGTTAAACAAACCCTGGTTTGCCCACAGTACAGGGCACACAGTTGGGTTGTTTTTCCAGCAAGGAAAAGCTTAGAGTTCCTTAAACCCAGATCAACGTAGTTCCTGGGATTTCCTGGTGGTGCTCTCATCCAATTCTCCTGCTAGACTGAGCTTTCCTGAACAGCCAAGGATGACCGAAGGCTGCCCCCTAGCGGAGCTTAAAGGAAAATTTGAGATTATCTAAAGCTGTGGCTAAAGTATAGTAACTTTACTACTTGTGGACTTCAACTCCCAGAATTCCCTTCCAACTCTCCTATGCTGTTCTGTTGCATGCAACCAAGGAACCCATCTCAGGATTTCCAGGTGGTGCCCCATCCAATTCTCCTACTCCAGTGTAGTTCCTAGGATTTCCACGTGGTGCCCCATCCAATTCTCTTAGTTACTCCAGCATAGCTCCTAGGGTTTCCGGGTGGTGCCCCATCCAATACTCTTACTCCACTGAGCTTTCCCGAACAGCCAAGGATGACCGAAGGCTGCCCCCTAGCGGAGCTTAAAGGAAAATTTGCGGTGGCTAAAGTATAGCAACTTTACGTGGACTTCAACTCCCAGAATTCCTCAGCCAGCTTAGCTGGCTGAGGAATTCTGGGAGTTGAAGTCCACAGGTCGTAAAGTTGCCATTAAACTCACTAAGCAACTTCCAAGATCAACGAAACACGTATAAAACCAGACCCTTATTTTATATCGACTCGATTGCCCTGGCTTACAACACAACCCTACAAACCAGCGGGCGAAGCTGTGGATGATGGGCCCCGAAAGGGACCGCCTTAGCGCCTCCCGCTTATATACAAACAGCCCAGCTCCCCTCGCCGCCTTTGCAACAGCCCCGAAGGCCGCCCCTTTTTCTCCGCCTCCTCCCCTCTGATTGGCTGCCAGGGCCGGAGGGCGTCGCCCCTTTCGAACGCTGCGTATCCAACCTTGAGCGCCCTCGACTCTCTCTCTCTCTCTCACTCATTGGCTGCCCGAGCCAGAGGCTCCGCCCCTTTGGAACGTGGAGTATCCGGTTTCTGGGCCGCCGTTTGCTCCGCGGCGGAGGCTGAACGAAGGGAGTTATAAGCGCGCGCTCGGAAGTCTTCTGCTGGGTCGGACGGGTAAGCGCGGAGGGTGGGGGGGGGATGAAAGGCATGGGGGCTGCGTGCCTTGCTTTCCCGGCTGCCCTTTGTCAGAAATGGTGCAGGGTCTCCTGCTTGGGCAGGGGGTTGGACTAGATGGCCTACAAGGTCCCTTCCGTTAATGTTATTATTTTGTTCTTCAGAAATTGTGGGAGCTTCATCTCACTGGAAGTTTTCAAGGAGAGATCTGTCAGAAAGGGTGCAGGGCCTCCTGCTTGGGCGGGGGGTTGGACTAGATGACCTACAAGGTCCCTTCCAACTCTCCTATGCTGTTCTGTTGCATGCCACCAAAGAAGCCATCTCAGGATGCGCTCTGCTTGGGTTGGACTAGATCAGTGGTCGCCAACCGGTGGAGAAAATTTTGGTGGGCCGCAGAGAAATCTCACCCCCAAAACACCCCCCCCCCCCCAAAGCAATTAATCCAGGCTGCACAGAAACACAAGGCTGCACCGCCCACATGGCCCGCAGGAACCCTCCCCGCCCACTCACTCCTTACCCGGCAAACTTGCCTGCAAAATTGCTATTTTTCCATTTTCCGACCATCATCTGTTCTGCTGTGCCGGGAGATTTAGATTAGCTAGGAAGCAGGAAATGGTTGGATTTCTTGCTTTCTAGCTAGTCTTTAGATCTTCGGCTCTGCTTTTAAGCACAGCTGAACCTCCCTTAGGACTGAAGGTTCTGTTATTCAGTGAAGAATCACAGCAAGCAAATTTCATGTGACAGACTCAGGTAGCCGGTGGCAGATAGATAGATCACTGAATGATGCTGTGAGCAACTCAATCTGCCTGCCTGCTTTGCCTGATTGTGGGTGAAAGTTGCTCTTTTTTTAATAAAAAATTCAATATTGAGATAAATATTTGTAATATTTACATACAAGCCATACCGAGCCAGTCACATGACCACCAAGTCACACCCACAAATTAGGCCACATCCACAGAACCGGTTAAGAAATTTGAATCCCACCTCTACCTGTGTGTGTGTGTGTGTGTGTGTGTGTGTATGTGTGAGAGAGAGGGAGAGAGGGGTTAGATCAGATCTCTCCCACCAATGTCAGTAAGCCACCGTCAGTCAAAATTCATATTAGTGGTCCCTGGGATTTAAAATTATGAGTTTGGTGGTCTCTGAGGTCCAAAAGGTTGGTGACCCCTGGACTAGATGACCTTCAAGGTCCCTTCCGTTAATGTTTTTATTTTGTTATTCAGAAATTGTGGGAGCTTCATCTCACTGGAAGTTTTCAAGGAGAGATCTGTCAGAAAGGGTGCAGGGCCTCCTGCTTGGGCGGAGGGTTGGACTAGATGACCTACAAGGTCCCTTCCAACTCAGTTAATCTGTTATCTGTCAGAAATGAGTCCATTTCCAAGCATCTGAATTTCGATCATGTGTGATCCATGTGTGGGGATGTTGCAGTGGTCATGTCTGAAAAAGTCATGTCCCTTTTTTTTTTTCAAATGGTCACTAAAGGAACTGTTAGAAGTCAAGGACTATCGTGTGCGCAAATTCCTGATTTCAGCCCCATTCGCTTACTTTGGGACTGCTTGTCTTCTAACTTTCTGTCATCTTTTTAATTTTTCCCCCACCAGGGTCCTGTCATGGCGGGAAGAGGCGGAAGAGGAAGGGGCCGAGGCGGGCACATGACCTTCAATGTTGAGGCGGTGGGCATCGGGAAGGGGGAGGCATTGCCCCCTCCCACCCTGAAGCCATCACCCCTCTTCCCTGTGAGTTGCTCGGTTTCCTTCGGACTTCCTTGGGTGCTCCCCCAATTTTTCCTTTCTGTGATGACCCAAAGGGGCGTGGCACAAAGGCAACCCAGTCAGATAATTAGGAGGAGTCCCTTTATTAGCTCCAACTTTGCCCCCAACGTCCTGGTTACCTTCTGGGCTGGAGAAAAACTCTCCCAGGAACAGCCGTTGGCTGCCGAGAATCAAGGCCAAAACGTGGTCAGCAAAAATTGTGACTTAAAAGTCCACTCAAGGCAAAATGAGGTCATTAGTCCAGCAGGGCAGGAGCAGGAATTCCAGATGTGAAGGACCGGCAGTAATTCAACACAGTTGGGACGATGCCAGGGACACAGATAACTAAAGTCAACACAAGATAAACTCATGTTTATCCCAGCAACTGCCGCACTCAGCATGAATCTCTTAAACTCCCTTCCCAGGTATGGCTAATGAAGGGAATCAGGGCCCTTTCCTACCCTGTAAGCCACCCAACCCACGTTGCTCCCTTCTCCATTCCTCCCTGTGTGCCCTAGGGCGAAACGGGGGTGGGCCTGGGTCTTCCTCTGAATTCCCTCTCCCTTGTTCTACCTCTCCTCTGCTCTGCCCAGCCGGACTTTGCCCTTCTCCAGTTTCCTCCAAAGCCAATGGAGCCCCTCTCCCACTCCCTGTCAGCTGTTTGTCTTCCTCCTCGGATTCAGACTCCAACGGGACTATGACAACCTTCATTGTTAAAAGTGCTTTTCAGAAAGTCTTATTGAACTTCCAGGGCCATCCTATCCCCCTTCCTGCAGCACAGGTCGTAACACTAAATGGTCACTGAACAAACAGTCATAACTCGAGGATATTATAAGCCAATATCACTGAACAATCTTTAGGTCATTTCAGCATAAAGATAATTCCGTCCATTTTTGGGAGATTTTTGAATATATTTCAGTGCTTGTGGCAACTCTTAAGTCCATTTTGTGATGGGTCATGAGTTTGAGTGTTCTTTGACCTTGTTTGGACTTTTGTAAGGTCCTTAAGACACAGCTACATGCCCAGACTCAATCTGCCTCTTACAGGTTAAAAATTACTAATTTTTGATTATGGGACCCTGCGGAATGTGTTATGGCCTGCCAGCTGCCAGCAGAGCTGGCAGCAAACTAGGACAATGAGGAGGTTGGGAGGAACTTGAGGCCAGTCCTGGAGTCTGGGGAAGGCTGTGACGGATGCTCTGTCTGACATTTCCCGACTGCCTTCAGAGTTGGAGATAAGTGGGGAAGAAGAACAGCTGGAGCCTGTTCCAGATGCCTGTATGCGCAGAGCTGTCAGAAGAGGAGAACAACTAAGGAACAGGGGGCCGACTTGGGAAGAAAGGCACATGTCGATGTTGAATGGCCCCTCCCTGGGGAATCAATAGAAGCAAAAGGGGAGCGGAGGTTGCAGGAGACAATTAGCTCATATTTCTTTAAGAAGATTTGCTTATTGTGCCTCACAGAGGCTCCTTAACAGGTATTAATTTACAGCTTTGCTACTGGAAGCTCTGGCAATTATCCAAGGATTGATAAGGTCTGTTCTTGGAATGATTATTGCCGGGACTTTTCCGTGTGTGAATGCCATGAAATTCACCGTAACTAAAAGAGGAGTTTTTCGGGACAAGGAGTCTGTTTTCTTGGTTCTGCTAAGCCTGGGTCAGAACAGAATGCTGCCAAGGTCATAAGTGAGTGCCATTGTAACTTTGAACGGTCACTAAATGAATGGTTATAAATCGAGGACTACCTTCCCAAGCTCAATTTTTAAGGCTCGGCTGCTGCAACCCTCTTTCTTGGATCAGTGAAAGAATACTGGCTGCATTCCCACAACACACGAAGCATCTGGTTTGTTGATTGTGGCTTACCATATTGTGGGAACTCCCCGGTCGGGCTGTTGCGGGTTCAGGTTCTTACACCTATTGTCAGCCAGATCTCCAGCATGGGTTAATTGTTCCCTTCTCCTGGCAGCTCTGTGCATGCACACATTGGGAACAGGCTCCAGCTGTTCTTCTTCCCCACTGATCTCCAACTCCGAAGGCAGCTGATAACTATCGGATGGCCCTGGCCCCATCTCTGCCTCCGACACAGAGCCCTCATCAGAGCCTTGCCCCGACTCCAGGACTGGCCCATGTTCCTCCCCAACCTCCTCACTGTCTGAGTGTCTGCCACCAACTCTGCTGGCCATTGGCCGGCCACAAAACTTCTTCTCTACCTTAATGGAGTCGGGGAGATTCTTTCTTGGATTTTGAACGGAGGCAGGCCTTGTACTGACCAAGGCTTCCTAGACCGTAATTACGCCCATGATTATTTTAAAAACAAGTCTTATTTTATTGCAACGCTGGGAATTGTTTTCATTCCCAGCCGGTAATGAATCTCAAACAGTCCCTCGAGATAAGCACCCACCTTTCGTTCCTGTGAAGTGTTGCCAATAGCAGAAATGTCAAATGAATGAGAAAAAAAAAAACCGACCAAGTACAAAGAGCTTCAAGAATGAATCTGAACCAAACAAATGACTTTGCTTCCTGCAAAGGTTTCATCATCTGCCTGTCTTTTATACCTTATGGGAGGGGCAGTCACCTCCCAGCCTTACTCCCGAGTCGCCCCTTTTGTCTCAGCTGCTCTGGCCTTCTGGCAGCTCTGCACATGCGCAAACTGGAAACAGGCTCCCCTTGTTCCTCTGCCTCGCTGCTGCCAGACTCCGGAGGTAGCACATAACTCCCAGGTGGTCCTGGCCCCTTCCCTGCATCGGACACAGGACCCTCGTCCGAGTCCTCCCCAGACTCCCGGACTGGTCCCCGTTCTTCCCCACTGTCCAATTCTGCTGCTGTCTGCACCGGCTGCTGGCGAACCACAACGGGCCTGACACCTATCCAGAAACTGGGTTAATTTAATAGCCCGATGAAGCATGTCGTGGGAAGGGAAAGCATTCCCCTGTTCTGTCTTAAACCTGGCTTGTTTCTGTAGCCGCTGGAATATAAAGCCCTTCCCTTGCTGGCCGGAGAGGAGGTCGAATACATGCTGGCCCTGAAGCAGGAGCTGAGGGGGGCCATGAAGAACCTGCCGTATTTCATCAAACCTTCGGCCCCCAAAAAAGGTACCGATCAGCCAAGAAAACCATGCAAAGCCCTTGAAATAATTTCTGCCTCGCGATCGGCTGAGCTTCTGCGATGTCATTGAATCTTGCATAGGATTTTTTTTTCTCTTCCTTTTTTTTCTTCTTTCATTTCTTTTCTACACCTGCCAGGGGGTGGGTTGTCCACCTGCTAGTTTCCCCATCCTTAAAAGAATCTGCAGAAGTTGTCCACAAGGATCTGGTCTGCTAAATTGGTGCTAGGGTCAGCGGAATTCACGGGGAGGGAGTGACGGCTCGGGACTTTTGTGACTGCGGCGGGATTCCCAACTCATGACGGGTTTAACCCCACCCGCCATCTCAGCCTGCTCACCATCTTCTTACCCTTTGCTATTTAAAGAGGGCATCACCACCGTGTTTCCCCAAAAATAAGACCCTGTCTTATATATATTTTTTGCCACCAAAAAAAAAGGCACCAGGTCTTAATTTCAGGGGGTGTCCTCCATTGACTAACCTCACTTGTGTGCGTCGCCCCCGGCCTCCTTTTCACTGTCAGAGGCCTTCAGAAACTTCTTCTACTGTGGCCGGCAAGGCTTTCCTGAAGGCCTCTGCAGCCGATAGCTCCAAGAAAGCCGTGCCAGCCTTGCCGGCTGCAGAAGAAATGGGCCGGCAAGGCAGGTGTTGGGGCGCAAGGCCTGGCTACAACTGTCCAAAGGTAAATAGGAGGGCAGTTCCACCCCCCCATCCCCACCCTAGGTTAACTTTTACCTGTCCATTCTGGAATGGGTGGGATCTTAATTAGGGCTTATTTTTGGGGGTAGGGCTTATATTGGGCTCACATGTAAAAAATCAAGCTAGGGCTTACTTTCTGGGTAGGTCGTATTTTCGGGGAAACGGGGTAATTCCTGAATTTTTCATTTCTTCAGATATTGAGCGCTATTCCGACAAGTATCAGGTGGCGGGCCCGACGGATAACTCCATGGAGTGGAACCCAGGTGAGGCCAGGAGAAACGTTTTGATTTCTTGGGGATTCTTGCACAGGCGGTCCTCAGCTTACGACCACCACGGAGCCCAAACTTTCCATCACTAAGGGAGATATTGGTTAAGTGGGTTTTGCCCCCGTTTTTCAACCTTTTGCCATTTGTTGTTAAGTGAATCACTTCAGTTGTTAAGGCAGTAAGACAGTTGTTAAGCGAATCAGGCTTCCTCGTGGACTTTGATTGTCAGAAGGTCGCAAAACAAGATCGCACAGCTCTGGGACACTGCAGCTGTCATAACTAGGAGTCAGTTGCCAGGTGTCTGGATTTTGATCATGTTAACCATACAACGGTTGTAAGTGTGAAAAACGGCCATAAGCCCCTTTTTTCAGTGACGTAACCTCAAACAGTCACTAAACAAATGGTTATAAGTCAAGAACTACTCTAGTACAAAGTTGATAGTAACAAAGATACAGGAACCAAAACTGGGGGGGTTTTCCCCTTTAATCTTGGGGAAGGATTAAGAATCACCTTGTCTCTAAATCACGCTGGCTGGGGAATTCTGGGAGTTGAAGTCCACAAGTTTTAAAGTTGACCAGGTTTGAGCATCCCTGCTCTAAATTATGCCCAAGAGATTACATTATTTTTATTTTTTTTTAAAAACCCACCTTGGGGCCCAAGTGGCTAAATTTTAATTGCTCGGTTAAATCTTTGCTGATCTCTGCAGATTGGAAGCAGCTACCTCCAGAACTAAAAATCCGCGTGAAGAAGACTCGAAAACAAAGTAAGTAATTTTATTACCTGTGCTTGGAGGAAATGTAATTTTCCCAAACTCCTCTTGAAGGTCTCAAGTGATGGCGCTCCCACAACTTCCGAGGGCAACTTCTGTTCCATTGGTTGATGGTTCTCACTGTCAGAAAATTCCTCCTTATTTCCAGGTTGAATCTCTCCTTGATCAGTTTCCACCCATTATTCCTTGTCTGGCCTTCAGGTGCCTTGGAGAATAGCTTGACCCCCTTCCTCCTCTCTGGGGCAGCCCCTCAAATACTGGAAGGCTGCTCTCCTGTCTCCCCTGGTCCTTCTCTTCCCTAGACTATCCAGGCCCAGTTCCTGCAACCGTTCATCGTATGTTTTAGCCTCCAGAGACCCCCTAATCATCCTGGTTGCTCTTCTCTGCACTCTTTCTACAGTCTCAATCTCTGTTTTATAATGTGGGGACCAAAACTGGATGCAGTACTCTAGGTGTGGCCTTACTAAGGCTTTACACAGTGGTATGAGTACCTCCCTTGATCTTGATTGTATCCCTCTGTTAATACAACTTAGGATTGCATTAGCTTTTTTGGCTGCTGCTGCACACAGCTGGCTCCTATTTAACTGGTTGTTCCCTAAGACTCCAAGATCCCTGTCCCAGTTACTGCTATTGGGCCTCATTTCACCCAGTCCATAGGTGTACTTTGGGTTTTGCTTGCCTGTGTAGGACTTTACTTTTCTCTACATTTCCTGTAAGCAGGAAAGATGCCCCCACTTCTTTCTGGAAGGGAAATCTGACTTAACACAAGCAAAGTTTTGTCGGTTTGAATTAACTCCTTGATTGTAACCTGGCCAAAAACAGACCCAGGAAAGTGGTTGGCTAAGATAATAAGCTTTTCTGGTTTCTTTCCGGTGCAGGGCAGGTGATTCCAGTTCCCAAGCAGAAACCCAAAGTGCCCACAGACAAGGAGGAAGCCATTAAGAAGTTGGAGGTAAGACTTCCGGTTTGAGCTTCTTCGGCAACAACAAATAATGTGTTAAAGAGGTTGGCTTTAATGGTGTCGTCATTGCAGTCTTTACCATTAGGTCCTTTCAGGGGTGGGATGGACTTTGAGTCTTTTAGTTTCTTGTTTACGAAACTGTAGAAAGCATATTATGAAGTCATAATTTGACTTCGACTCCCAGAATCCCAAACTTGGCCACTTTAAGACTTGTGGGCTTCAACTCCCAGAATTCTCCGGCCAGCAAAGCTTTTAATAGATGATGAGCATAGCTGGCTGGAGAATTCTGGGAGTTGAAGTCCACAAGTCTTAAAGTTGCTAAGTGTGGAGACCTCTGTAATAATTGGTGCCAGTTGCCAACTTCCCAAAATTTTGATCAGGTTGTTTTAATTGTTCCCCAGACGCTGGAAAAGAAAGAGGAAGAGGTGACATCGGAAGAGGAAGAGGAGAAGGAAGAGGGTGAAGAAGGCAAGGAGGAAGAGGAGGAAGAATACGACGAAGAAGAGTTCGAAGAGGTAAGACGGAAGAAACCGTAGCAGAGGTGAAGTCCCAAAATGGCTGCTCCTGAATTTTGGTGGGAGATTGTTTCCCGTGTCCTCTGCCATTTTGAGATGGGTAAACTTCTGCCAGAATTCCCCAGCCATCATGGAGCTGAAGTCCATGCATCTTTAAATGGCCCAGGTTGAGAAACGCTGAATTGGAGAAATAGAATAGAATAGAATAATAGAGTTGAAAGGGGCCTTGTAGGTCATCTAGTCCAACCCCCCCGCCCAAGCAGGAGACCCTACACCATTTCTAACAGAGGGCAGTCCAGTCTCTTCTTGAAAGCCTCCAGGGATGAAGCTCCCACCACTTTTTTTAAAAAAATAAAATTTTTATTTTTATAACAACAACAAAAACAAAACCTTTCTGTTCATCAGTGTGTCAGTTGGGTAAACATTTCTTTGTGCACATAATAACATTATCGTACATATTTTACTTATGTATGTATATAATCATTCTAATCAGTATTTTATATTGCATATATCACTTATTATATTAGCCTTAACGTTATATTTATTGATTTTCAATAATATATTTCACATTCATTTTCTTACTCTAACGCATTCAATTATCAGTAATAAATATTATACTGTACTTACATATTTTAATTTCTGACTCTTCTATCAAGCCATTCATAAAATAAATTCCAAATTTTATAATAATATTTTTCCTCTTGTTCTCTAATTGCCATTGTCAATCTACTCATTTCTGCACATTCCATTATTTTCTTAATTATTTCCTCATCCATCGGAATTTTCTCATTTTTCCAGTTTTGTGCAAATACAATCCTGGCTGCTGTTAATACATTGATAATCAAATAGATTAACTCTTTGTTATAACCCTCAGGCAAAATTCCCAATAAAATGTCTCTGGTTTTAAATCTATAGATTGTTTTATCATTTTCTCCAGTCACATATGTATTCTCGTCCAATACTTTTTAGCTTCTGTGCATGTCCACCACATATAGTAGTATGATTCTGGTAACTTCTGACATTTCCAGCACTTCGCCGACTTATCTTTAAACATTTTGACAATTCTCGTTGGGGGTAAAACATCTTACACAAATTCTCTTTATAAGCTGTTGACATAGTTAATTTATAGTTTCTAGATCATAGTATCTGCCATTTATCCAAATCTATTCCATATCCAAAGTTTTTCCACCACGCAATCATTGATTCTTTAACTTGTTCTTCCTCTAATTTCACTCCTAGTAAGTAACCATATAATTTTTTAATCAACTTCTCTTCAGTGCCTGTTAGGATTTTATCCAATTCATTCAATTCCTTATAAAACCCAGCCATCTTGATGTCTTTCTCATACCTTGTATGTATTTGCAAATATGAATACCAATTCATTTTTATCCTGTGTGACTCTAATTCTTGCTTTGTTCTTTTCATTTAAAATTTCTTCATCTCTAATAATGTGTTCCTTTTTAAAAAGCTGTGGATATGTAAAAGTTAATGATAACCAGACTGGTATTTTCATATAGTGATAATCTCTTATTTTTTCCCCATACTGTTAATAAAGCATCCCTAATGTAGTGTCTCCTAAAATATCCATGTACCTTACTTTCTTTATACCATAAAAATGCATGCCAGCCCAATTGTAAAGCATGCCCTTCTAGTGTTAATAATCTGGCATTTTTCAATGTAATCCATTCCTTCATCCACATCAATACTGTTGCCTGGTAGTAGTTCCCGACTGGGTAATCCAAAAACCCCTCTCATCCTTCTGTCCTGCAGTCGTTTTATCTTGATTCTCGTCTTTTTTGCCTGCCAAATGAATTTCAACATTTTATTTAAATCTTCAAAGTATTTTTTTTTCAAACTTATTGGAATCGTCTGGAATAAGTATAATATTTTTTGGCAATATGTTCATTTTAATTGTCTCTATTCTACCTATTAAAGATAGTTGTAAGTTTTTCCATTTTTCCAAGTCTATCTCAATCTGTTGTAGTAATTTCTCGTAATTATCTTTAAGTGTTCCACATCTAGCTCTCATTTGTATCCCTAGATATTTCACTTTTTTGTAATTTGAATATTTAATTTGTCCATTAATCTTTTCTTTTGTTTTTCTGTCATATTTTTCACCAAGATATTTTGTTTTTTCTTTGTTTATTTTCAATCCTGCTACTTCGCCAAACTCCTCTATTTCTCTAGTCAACTTAGGGCCTGTTTCCAATGGTTCTTCCAATATAAAAACCAAATCATCTGCAAAAGCTTGTAATTTATATTCTTCCTTTTTTATTTACATTCCCTTTATTTCTTCATTTTTCCTAATGTTTCTATTCAAAACTTCCAAAGTCAATACAAACAATAATGGGGATGACGGACAGCCTTGCCTGGTTCCTTTTTGAATGTTAAAGTTTTCTGTCAATTTTCCATTTATCATTACTCTTGTTGTTTGCTTGTTATAAATCGCCTTTAGTGCTTTAGTAAACCTATCAATTCACATTATCAAACGCTTTCTGTGCATCTAAAAACACTAATGCCATTTGTTTCTCTGAGTGGGTTTCATTGTATTCCAGAGTATTCAATGTTATCCTCATATTATTTTTTATTTGTCTCTTGGGTAGAAATCCATTTTGATCTGAATTTATAAAATGATTTAAATATCTTTTTTAGTCTTTCTGCCATTATTGAAGCAAATATTTTATAATCGGCTTTTAGCAAAGATGTTGGTCTATAATTTTTTATTTGTTGTGGGTCAGTATCTTCTTTTGATATAAGTGTAACATATGCCTCTGTCCGTGAATCAGGTACTTTATTTTTTGTCAGAACCTCATTCAATACTTCTCTGAGATCAGCTGCCAGGTTTCTCCTCATGTATTTTCTTTAAAGAAGAAAACCAATTCTTTTTCCAGGTTATTAATAAATTCTTTTTCTTTCAAAATCAAATTATTCTAAGCCCATCTTAGTCTTTACTTCTGTCCCTTCCATTTAATCCTTATTGGGTTGTGATTGGCCCAAATGTTTGTATCAATATTTGCTTCCTGAATATTAGGTATTAAGTCTGTTGACATCCAAATCATATCTATTCTTGACCATGATAGATGTCTATTTGAATAAAATGTAAATTGTCTATTTTTGATATTCAATTCTCTCCATATATCTTTAATACTCAGCTCCTCCACCATCTTAAAAAAAGATTTGGGTAATATTTTTCTATTTTTCGTATTTGTTTTCTGTGTTTTATAGTCCAGTTCTGTGTTTACAATTGCATTAAAGTCTCCAAAGATGCATATCTTATCATATTCCAGTTCAATTATTTTATTATGTAACTTCTTATAAAATTGGTCTTGCTGATTACTGGGAGCATAAATTGCAATTAAAGTACTTTTAAATTATTATCTATTATTTCAACCATCAATATTCTTCCTTCTTCATCTGTATAAATTTGCTTAGCTTTAATTGTATTTCTAATGTATAAAACAACTCTTTTATTTTGTTGTGCCAATGATGTAAATATATTCCCAATTCTAGGACAATTCAACAGATGTGCATGTTGTCTTTTAATGTGCACTTCTTGTAAGGAGATTATATCTATGTTTAATTTCCCTAATTTATGAAATATTTTTTTCCTTTTAATAGCCAAATTTAGTCCATTTATATTTATAGAAATCAGTTTCTTTTCCTCTTCCACTGTTTATACAGTACCTTATAATTAGGATTTATTGCTCTTGTTGTTCTTTGTTCTCTTGGTTCTTTAGTTATCATTTGGCCACCTACAGCTCCCTCCTCCTGTCTCCTCTCCTCCCTTTGCTTCTTCTCCATTTCCATTCGTATTTTGAGTTCCTCTTCTCTTGCTCTCTTGTCTTCTGTTCCTCCAGAATAACAACAGAATAACAGAGTTGGAAGGGACCTGGGAGGTCATCTAGTCCAACTCGCGGCCCAAACTGGAGACCCTACACCAGTGGTTCCCAAAGTGGGTGGTACCCTGGGGGGCAGTGGGATGCCTTAGGGAGTGCTAAGAGGCGTCAAGGCGCCGGCCCCGCAGGCTCACTCCATTGACTGTTGCACTGCTCCGGAGCCAGCGCCACGAATGCGGCAGCACGTTGGGAAAGTAGAGCAAACCCACTGCCACTACATTCAAGGCTCCGGCTCCGGAGCGGTGCAACAGTCAATGGGGTGAGCCTGCGGTGCCGGTGCCTCGAACACCCCCCTGCCATCTCTTAGCACCCCTCTGCCGGCCCCCTTGGGGGCACTAAGAGGCGGCAGGGGGGCATTCGAGGTGTCGGCACCGCAGGCTCACCCCATTGACTGTTGCACCGGAGCGGTGCAAGGGGCTCAATGGGGTGAGTCTGCGTAGCCGGCGTGTTGAACGTAGCGGCGGCAGCACGTTGGGAAAGTAGCTCTACTTTCCCAAAGTGCCGCCGCTGTCGCATTCTGTCTGTCTGTCTGCCTTCCTGCCTACTTACCTACCTGCCTGTCTTTCTTTCTGTCTACCTACCTTCCTACCAATATAGATCTATCTATCTACTTATCTACCTACCTACCTATCTATCCATACATTCATCCAAAAGGTCTGCCTGCCTGCCTACCTACCTACCTGCCTATCCATCCATCCTACCTACCTACCTGTCTCTCTCTTTGTCTGTCTGTCTCTCTCTCTCTTCCTATCCATCCATCCAGGCGCCGGCCCTGCAGGCACACCGGGAAAGTAGAGCGAAGTCAGTCTGGGAGGGAGGGAGAGAGAGAGAGAGAGAGCGAGAGCACTGATGCATCAGATTAAAATGAGGCCTAGTTTAGACTGAGGCCCTTTTCCACATTGAAACATCTTTGGCTTCTATTAAGGGTTTTGTGGCCAAAACATGGCCAAGACTATCAGGAAGCTCTCACATTTTGTTGAGGCTTTAAACAGGATCCATTGGACCAGATCTCCACCCTAAAAAAATACTTTTCCCCAATGTTTTAAAGTGCCAATTCTGAAGAAGGCAAAACCAAATCGTACTGGTAAATTACAAGGAGAACACACACACACACACACACTCCCTTCTAACCCTGCTGGAGCAGGTGATTGGACTAGAATAGATATCTCATTATCTTTCTCCTCCCTCCCTCCTTGTTTATTTCTTTTTATTTCTGTCCCTTCCTTCCATACCCCTCTTTCTTTGTCCCTTTTTCTTTCTTTCCCTTTTCTCTTTCTTTTCTTCTTTCTTTCTCTCTTTCTTTTCTCTCTCTCTCTTTCCCTCTCTCAGGCTCACCCCATTGACTTGGTGCACCGCTCTGCTCGGACTTGCTTGGGCAGGTCCCTCCGGTGCAGCGGGCTCAATGGGGTGGACCTGCGGGGCCGGCACCTAGAACGCGGCAGTGGCGGCACGTTTGAAAAGTAGAGTAAAGCCAGAGGTCGGTAATGTTTTCTGCAATGAATCACAAAAGCTTTTGGGCTGTGCACAAGAAGGGACATACATCTCAATGCAATTCAGCAACATAAAATAAAGGAATACAAATTTAAAAAAATCAAGAATCCGCAAAGCATCTCTGATTAGATTATATTCACTACTAGAATCTAATCAGAGATGCTTTGCCAATTCTAGTCCAATGACCTGCTCCAGCAAGGTTAGAAGGGAGTGTGTGTATATGTGTGTGCATGGCTGTCAAAACTCCAAAAACAGGTCAAGTATCTCTGGGGAGGCCAGTCACAAATTAGAACACTTGCTAAACAACTGGCCATTAAGTGAGGACCACTTGTATTTGGTGTGCCAGTCACCTGGCCACGGCCACCCAGTCACGTGACCACCAAACCACACCTACCTGGTCACGTGACCAGCAAGCCACACCCAGTCACGTGACCAGCAAGCCACACCCTCAAATTAGGCCACACCCACAGAAATTTGAATCCCACCCCTGGGTGGGTGGCATCGAGGATGAGTTTGTAGCACCAAGGGGGGGGTGGACTGAAAAAGTTTGGGAACCACTGCCCTACACCATTTCTGACAGGTGGCAGTCCAGTCTCTTCTTAAAAGTTCCAGTGATGAAGCTCCCACTACTTTTACTTTTTTACTTTACTTTACTTTACTTTACTTTACTTTACTTTACTTTAC